ATTTTTTTGTGCTTACAGATTAACAGTTAGTGGCTTGGCATGAAAAATCAATGAGTGAAGTTAGTTACATTCACTTTTATCAAATACTGTTGGGAAATGTATGAATCCATCTCTTTTCTCTTGCCCCCGACCCAAACCAGGTATAGGTTAAATAGCAAGTCAGACTGGTATTTCTAGGCATGGTTGATGATCAGTCCAAGATATGTAAGTAGCTTAATGGCTATCAACATGGAAAAAGGAATTGGCAAACTGAGTTCAAGTTTGGGTTTAGTCTGTTGCATTCACTTTTGCACTAATCATCTTTGTAAAGGCATGAATCCATTTCTTTTTCCCAAGAAGTCATGGCAATTCACAGATAATAAAGAAAAAGGAAATCTGTGGAGAGCTAAGATTGCTTACACCCTGACAGGACACAGCATTAAAGATAAACCCACTTTTCTACAAGGTGACCTAGATCATAGATAAGCCTACTCATGTTCACAATATAACTGGGCATTGCTCAAACCTTCTAGACTACTTTCTCACCTCTGGTTTTGACAAATGTTCTGCTAAAGTGTTACCTCCCTTGGACTTTCAGACCACTCATTTATCAATGTCAAGTTTTATACCAAACCAAAGGCTTCTTCTGATGTCCCATTTCACAGGGTAATCTTTCAATACCTAAAAGCTGATTGGGATATCTTTAGATCTTACATTGTGGAAACTCCTCTCTCAGCATTCTTAAAAAAACAGAGCTCCCAGAACATTCTTCCTTATTTCAGAATATGTTCTTTCTGGCATGGAGTTTATGCCACACAAAAGTATCTGCAAAGATTGAATAACCAACCTTGGTCCATGTCTTAATATGCTGCCACCATAGCTCACAGTAACCACTACTAATATCTCTATCACAGGGAATGGTGTAGCATAAATCTCACTACATTCAGAAATGCCCACAATTAGTGCAGGAACATTCCAGAAAATCCAAAGAGCAGCCATGCACAGTCAGCCCAAGCCAAAGTTGAAAACAAAAGACTTTGTTCTTGTGAGTTCTGGAAAATAACCAACAAAATTCTTAATAGAGGAAAACCATCAGTGCTTACTATTATAAATGGCTCTGAGGTTATCTCATCCTTGGCAAATAAGGTTAAACTCTTTGTAATGAACTTTGCTTCTAACTCTATTAGATGACAAGAGCCATCCTCTACCTGACTTTTCTACTCTAAGAGAGCCCAAATTTTGTAATTTCTCTATCTTAGCTTGTGACGTTTCCAGACATATTAAAATGTCTTGACTCTATGAAAGCCTTAAGAACCTTAGCCCAGTATTGTCTTCAATCTTAGCAAAGTTGTTTAACCACTGTCTGAAGAAGAAATGATTCCTAAGGTCTAAGTTGTATGCCCTGTTTTCAAGAATGTGGGTGAGCACAAATCTTCATTGCAATATCACTTGATCAGCCTCCTTAGTGTAATCAGCAAACTCCTTGAGTCTATTATCAGCAACAAGGTTCTTGGTCATCTCAACAGAAACAACCTCTGATTGATAAACAGTACGCATTTCACTCCTCTTTGTTCACTGTTGATGTCTTAACTGTCATTAATCACAAAGGCTTTTGATGAGGTGTGTTATGGGGGTTGCTTCACAAACTATCCAGCTATATCTCTGGAAGAGTCTTTGCATTTATCAAATCCTTCCTATCAGGTAGATCCATGAAGGTTGTTGTTAATGGACAGTCTTCTGAAGCCCATGAAATCAATGCAAGTGTCTACCAAGGCCCTCTCCATGGTCCTACCCTCTTTCTGTCTTATATTAATCATCAGCCCAGAAACACCCCCAAATCATTAATAAATATCTATGCAGATAATACCACAGTATATTGGCACATCTCCAAAATCTAGATGATTGGAATCTGGCAGTTGCTCATTGAGAGAAAAACTAGCTTGGAACTTTCAATATCCCTAAAATCAAGCTAGTAATTTTTCATCATCAAGCAAACACTGAATTTTGTCAAATCATGATGAAGGGTTATTATACTAACAATGAGACTCTTTGCTTTGGATGTCTATTGGGACTCTGTTTTACTTCAGACCTCTAGTGAAACACCTATGATTCATCACTAAAAAGGCTAGGAAAATAGTTGGCTACTTGTATTGCTCAAAAAAATACCTGACTGCTTCAGTCATGCTCTATTTTTACAAGAGTCATATCAGACCAAAATGGAGTAGTGCTGCCATATCAGGGGCTGTCCAATTCTAACTTCACAGCTATGACATAGTTTCAAAGCAGTTATGCAACCATGTGGTGATGTATTTTTTATCCTACAGCCTCTTCCCAACAGATGAAATGTTGCATACCTAATGCTACTATATCATTATTTCCATGGCAAATATTTAAACAAACTACATTCCTTAGTTCTACTAGTTCAGAACATTACAGCTAAGACTTGCCATGCTACATTCCCAGGGTTGAATCATTCTTATTCTCTTCATGTTCCATTAGTAAGAAGGAAGTTCCACTTAGCTTCTTCTCAAGAAGCACTGCTTTGTGGAATAGACCCTTGGGAAGATGCTTACAATCTTAACCTCTTCAAGTCTACAGTCAACCATCATCTATTCTACATATTCTCATAATCTATATTTACTTCTCCCTCTTATGTCCATGCAACAACCTCGGCCAGTAACCCTTTACTGCCCTTGTATTGGGTGAATTAGTAAAAATGTAAGAGTTTATGGGGCTTAGACAAGTGATGCAATGAATATATGTCAGTAATTATTTCTTGGTATCTTAATAATGGTATCTCGGTAATTTTTCTTGAACTTCCATTTTCCTGATGCTTGAATTTAGTGTCTTTATTGCAAAACCTGCTTGTTAAAAGAAATTTTAAATTAAATTCTTAAAATTTGAATATTAACTTTAAAAACATTAATTAAATTTCTGAATTGCTATCTATTGTTTTTATATTAACATGACTTTCTATTCAGCATTTAAGATAAAGATTTTACAACAAAAGAACACATCAATATTATATTTGACATGATTTTACAATGTAATATGTTTTTAATTAAGGATAAATAACCTTGTATTTGGAACTGATTTGGAATTTTTTACACATTAAGATTTAATATATTCTTCAGTAGTAATTGTAATTAGAAGTGTAAACCATTGTATATAAAATGGCATGAAATTTGCAAAAACCTTTTGGGTTGTGGAATCCTATTTGAGATTGATATAGTCTGGAAATGTGAAAAGTGCCTCAACAAATGTGAAAACTACAAAAATCGCTTCCTAATTTTAGAATTTTAAATTTTACTGATATATAACCTCAGAAAATATGTATATATTAGATATAAACTATATTAACAAAGCAGTTTGTCACTATTTTAATTACCAAATTTGATATTACAATTATAATAAACTTTTCAAAATATTAAATTGATAAATAAGTTTTGTTGCTGCCTGATTAAAGTTAGTGAACTGAATTTATAAGGTCATACATGACTGGTTGGTTGTTTATTAATGTTATTAGACACTAAGGCTATAATTAGGTTACTTGTGCATTCTTGTTTTTAGGCTTTCATGTAATGATGTTTGGAATCTTGCAAATGCTTGGGTTTAGGATAATAATCATAATTGCTTACTTCTCTGAAGAAACTGATATTTGTCTTGTGTTTCTAAAATAACATAAAATCACCTTTAAAAAAATTGGTTTAATCAAATGGTTATTATTTGTGCTTATAAAATTTCAAGTCTATTTTTTATAGAATCTAATATTTTCAATAAAAAATGACATATTGAATTCCTAGCATTAAAAGTAAGCTTGTAGTGCTGCCAATAAGTGTTAATGAAATGGAAAATTTTTCTGTTATGCTGAAGTAAGCTAGACAGTTTCATACATTTGGAATTAAGCTCCAGAATAGACAATTAATTTACTATGTATAGATAATGACTGATCAATCTTAATGATAAGCATATTTTTGTATATAGAAAAAACCTTTTAAACCTCTTTTGAATAGTGTAGTCACTTCTTAAATTTTATCTGAATACTATGCATGTTCTATGGCCACTTCTACATCTTTTGTTTCAAGTTTATTTTAAAATGTTGATTTATTTTGGGTGTAACAGTTTCTATTGTCAGTTTGCTGCTTCTAATGATTATTAAATGTCCAATGATTCTAGGTGCTGCACAAATCATTGTTACTATTGAAAAATGTTTTATATAAATTGTGTGTGTGTGTGTGGGAGAGAAATAAATATATGTTAATCATGTATATTTCCTCAATAGTTTAAGGATAAATGTTCAATTGTAAAAACTATATTCATTTATATAAAACAATAAAAAATGTTAATAACTAAATTTTCATGAGTAGTTAATTTTTATAGAGATTATTTAAAGTACTTATAAAATTTGCTTTGGTTTATTTGCAAATTTGAATAATTTTGTTTTTAATATATTTCAAGAAAAGTATGAAACCATCAAAAACCAGTCAATTTATAGTTTCCAAAAATTATTAAGTTGATCTTCCAGTAGTATAATTACTATTATAATGATCTGATTTTTGTATATGTATTGTTGCTAAAAAAAAATCAGCACATCATAGCACAATTTTTGTTAGCACAATACCATTTAACTGCTCAAACTTGGAGAATAATGTATTTTCTAACTACCAATTTTCAACTAATTAAGTATAAATTGTCAAAAAAAATCTACCCAAGAAAGATAGCTCGAGTGTTATTAACTGCTAATTTCAAAGTGACATGTCTACACACTTCTGTCAGTGACAATAATTTAATAATAATTAAGCTTAATAATTAACATTTGTGAATAATTGTAAATTCTACAAAAAGGATGTGAGTCAATATTGAGACGGCCAAAGGTGATATTTAAGCAATTAATAATAAAATGCAATTTGGTTTGAAATTAAGTTATACTTGAAAATAAAGATTTTTATTCTTTACAGAAGACTATCTATTAATCATCTTAAACAAGAAATTTAACTGTTTTTTTTTTTTTTAATTCTCAGTTGAAATATCCAAAATGCAGAAATTACCATCCCAAGGAGAAAGTGGAGTTCGAACCAGTATCTCCCAAAACTTCTGATTGTCAAATTCGCCACTACATGCTTGATATTTTCAATGGCTATGCATGGATAATATTAAAACGCGCTCCATGGTATATTTGGATATACAGCATTTTTGTTTTCTTATATGATCTTTTCATGAAAAATGGCTTGCATAATCTCATACGGCTCTATACCACAAGAGTAGTAGATCCTGGTGGAATACTGGGACAATATAAGGATATTATTGAAGAATGCCAACCAAGTCTAGCTGCAGGTAAGATCTTAGAAATCATTCTTAACCTTAAATATATTCATTTGTGTAAATGAACGAGTAACTTTAAGCAGCTTTATAGGATTTTTCTGCTAAATATTTCGCCTTTAAAATGTTGCTCTAATGCTGAATGCAAGTAATATTGTTTTTTATATTTACTATTGTTTATTGAGGGTTGTCGGAAAGATAAAGTACAAATATTTACTAATCCATGTTTATTACTATACAGATAAAACATGTGCATATATTACCAGAATTATTATGCTAATTATCCATGCAGTCGCCAAATTGTCCCATTGGTACACCTGTATAAATACCTTCAAAGAACTTGGCAGGAGTGACTGGAGTCACACTTGCAACTCTGTAAAAGCAATGTATGGAAATGCTTGCCAGATAAATGTTATCTGAGGGACACAACTAAATGACCATCTAAAGGAATCTAGAGGCCTATGTGGTGGATGTGGAAAAACATTCCAACCATATTGGTTGAGTAATTCTACTGTCAGCTTGGCTGTATGCAAAGTGGCATTGTCATGCAGCAGGATGATATTCTTACACAAACATCTTGATTTCTTTAGAAAAATCTTTATTTGTTTGCCTATCTAGCATTTTTCAGTATCTGACTGCATTAACTAAGTATGAAAATTCATGAGCACCATACCTTTTTGTATCCGACAACACCATTTCTTTGGTTAACTACTTGTGATGTTTTTGGTAATGGATTCAGTAGTCATTGATGATTTGAAGTTTCAGAGTATCAATGTTTTTTTCATATGCTCCAGAATTCCAAAAACTGAACCAAAATATGCTCATGTGTTGGAATTTGGTTTCTTTAATTAATTGCTTTGTGACCTAAAAATGGATTTTTGCCCTTGGCATGCAGAAACCTTATTGCACCTTAAATCTATGTTTGCCCACTGTTTTATGGTAGCTGTCATCTTTGTTGTGCTGTCACATATGCATGTGCTCAATATGAAGGCTGTTACCAGAAGTGTTTTTGCTTACAGCCACATCACATTGAAATACTAGTTCTTGTACAGTCACTAGTAAAGCAGCATCAAAACTGATCAGTAACTGGATGGGTGACCACTTTAGGTATACCAGGTGCTGTAAGTTCGGATGTACAGCTGGTGTCAAGGATAACAGCTCAGAATTGGAAATTGGAGAGCCAAGTTCCAATTCCAGTCAGTTTTCTTATATTCACCTGTGTGTGAATGTCCTTGGGAACTATGAATCAACCTCACCCCATCTGCCAGCTATGGTGTAATTAGTAGAATTTGTATTAATAAATCATTAACTCCAAAACATTCTTACAATCTAAAAATATTTTCTGGTTTTAAATAACTTGCAAAATGTTGATTAGCTGTAAAAAGCAAATCAATCAATCAAAATCCTTTCTTGCTTTGTGTTTACAGATTTCAGAAATGTTTTAACTGGTCAATTTATGTTTATCTGTATCTTTCTTTTCAGACATCCTTCGTGTCTTGATTTTTATTATTATTATTAAATTAAGCATTATCATTATTAATTTTTGACTACTTTTGCTTTTATCTCTATTTTGTTACTTTTTTATCAAAATAATTGGGTGTTTTTTACATTTACAACCATTAAGAAAGCAACATGTATCAGAAATCAGAAATAAAGATTTAGCTTCTTGGAGGTTTATTTTTTTCAGTTCATGGTGCTTGCTTAACAGTCATAGAATATTAAAATAACCTGAATACTATAATAAAAAAATGTGACAAATATAAAATGAAAAAAATCTAATTGAAAATTAATAATGCACATTCTTTGTTTCTATTAAAAACCTCCTTATGGTATTTAATCTACTGTGTGACAGTATTTTTTTCTTCAATGGAAGTTTCCAGAAATGTTTATAGCACTCAATAAATATACATCAAAATACTCTGACTGCCTCCTTTTATTATAATAGTGAAATATGCTTTGATGAATGATCATCAGTGTCAAGATCTTTATAATAATATTCACCAGACAAAGGCTGGGAACATATATCAGAAACTTTTTTTGACATCACTTTTTTTTCTCCCATTAATGTAACATCTAAAAGGCATTTATTGTATTAATATGATTTGAATTAAACTATTTATGTTAAAATGTATGCTTATACAATGATGAAAAAGTGAATTTAGTGAGAACTTAATTGTAAACTGATAATGTAGATCTTTGATGAAAATTTAACCCAATTAAATGTTAAGTAGTTTCTTTACTATCTTTAAGCTTAAATTTGATAGTTATTATGACATGACAGTTTATTCAGATAAATATCATCTTTTAGAACAACATTTCAGTTGATTATTCCCTCCAGACCAACTAAAATATTGCGGTTAAAAACCTGTCATAATGACACTTCACTTTCAGCAATATTCATATTACTTTCTTCCTATTTTTTTTTTCTTTTCATGCAGCATTAAAGTTACTGACTGATTCAAATAATGTACCTGCCTTATTAAATTGCACTCATGGAAAAGACAGAACTGGAGTCTTATGTGCTTTGATTCTTGCTTGCCTTGGGAAAGATAAATACTACATAGCAAAAAACTATGCTCTATCTGTAAGTTTGAATTTATGCCTTTTTTTTTTTTCCAGTCTGTTATATGAGAGACTAAATCTAATGGCTTTAGTCAAGATCAGACCTGTCACCAAGGAAAATCATTTGTCTCCTGCTGTTAAAATGATATAAACTAATCTTGAAAATTCTTATTTGTGGATCCTCACCCCTATATTTCAGCAGTAAAACAATAAGACCTATTTGCCAATCTGTTAGTACACTTAAATTCAGGTAGTTGAGGTACAAAGGAGGAAAGACATGTCACATGGCGAGAAAGTGACTGAAGTTGAAATGCTATATCAGGACTAATTTGTCAAGAATTTCAAGATTTATAGCAGAAGGACCAGACCAGATATGGCAGCAATATTCAATGCATGGACAAATGGTAGATTTATAAATGTGCAAGATGGATTCTGATGAGAAAAATTTTATGAACTTTTGTAGCAGCAGATATACCATTTGATTCAATATAATCACTCCACTTCATGTCAGTGGAAAATGTGAGATCAAGATGGTGCAATGAGTTGCTCTCCTGGAGGTTAGCATCAGCCATGCCGATGGAAGGCAAAATCGTTCTCTATGATGATTAAAAGATAGCAGTTTCATTTTAGAAGTGATAAAATTTATAAGCCATTTCTTGCCCCAGTTAACTGACTTGAGGTCATTTTCGAAAGCAGCTGCCAGTTTTACCTTGTTGAGCCTATTGGACTTACTACTAGACAAGAGTAAATAGTTGTCATCAGCATAAATACCTTGTTGGGAACTGATGACATGTGGAAGATCATTGATAAAGATAAGAAACAACATAGATCCAAGGATAGAGCTTAAAGGGACCACCACTTCAATGTGAAATGATCTAAAAGTGTGACCATTCAATATGACCTTCATTATATGAATTGTCAAATATTTGTCCAGAGACATCAGAACCCTTGAGCTTGTGAATAATGTCAATATGTCAAGTACTGTCAAACACCTTTAAGATATCTAAAGCCACATCTCAAGCCTTGCTGTTCTTACCTAAATTCTTATCTAAAGCCTGATAGGCAAATTCAGTAATAACTGTTAACTCATCAGTGGTTGACCTAGAGAAATAAAAGCCATATTATTTATCTGAAAGAAGGCCATGTGAAGTGTGCAGTGTATATATATATATATATATATATATATATATATATATATAAATACCTAATAAACATCTTAATCACTTTAATCCCCCAGTCTAAATCTGTTTTTATATCCAAACATTTAAGTTCTGTCTTCTGTCAGATTGCATTAAGTTATATACAGTAATTTTTATTTTTAATTTTGTTGTTTTTAAATAAAATTAGAAGTGACTGAAGTTATATAGGCAATTAAAATATGTGTCAAAATATGTCAATTCTAACAAATTGTTCTGGAAATAGGATGTAAAATCTATTGACCTATCTATTTGTTAAAGTATTTAATGAATTATGATACTTTTATATCCTGTAATGTAGGTATGTTTTAATATAAAATGCACATTATCTTTTAATATAATAAAAATGTTATGTTTTAGTGGCTTAGTTAAAAATTGAACTTGTCTGATTTTCATTTTATGTATTTTTTGTAGGATGAATTAGCAAAATTAAAGCCAATTCTACAGGAGGAAATCATAAAACGATATCAATTAAATGAAAGTTTTGCTACAGCCAAAGAAGAAACAATGCTGAACTTATTTGAGTTTGTTGAGAAAAGGTAATTTTGGAATTGTTTTGTTGAACAACCACATTCTATTTTTCCTACTTTTTTTTTTTTTCATCTTTCATAAAGATTCAGATAGAATAATTGAAACTTTAAAATATTCAACTAAATTTCCTTTTAAGAATTTTTTGTTTTATTTTCATAAGAAAATAGTAACTTTTGTATTTTTTTGTATTTAATGTACAAAAGGGACTTGACTTTTTTCGCTAATCAGCTTTATTAATACAAACAGTGAATTAAACATTTTGTGCAATCTAAAATGAATTTTGTATAATATGGTTTTTGTACAAACAAAAATATAGTTATTACAATTATAATAGGAGCAGATATGTTCACCTATCATCTGGTTCATTCACCTCCTCAGTCTTTTGAACAGGAGTAAAGGTTTATCCCTTGTTTCCTGTTTAGAATTGGGTTTTCTGGTTTCTTCAGTAGCAACTTGTGACAGTCTCCCAGATAACTCAACTTCATACATAAATCCCAGGAGATATATATTGAACCATTTGGTGGTGGGGGGGGCAGGAAGAAAAGTCTTATTCTTGATTATCTGATTTGGAATGGTAATAAAAATATCATCAGATTTTTAAACGTCTCAATTAAAAATATTGGATAATATAAAGTATGTAAATGTATTACTTTATATAAATACTATTGTTCATATTTCTTTTGATTTAGGTATGGCAGTGTATCCACCTACCTTGAATACATTGGATTCAGTTCTGAGGAACAGGAACAATTGTGTAAGAACCTCTGTGGATTATGACTTTCTATATGGACTCTTGGAAAAATGCAAAGGAAAGGAAAATAAACAAAAATAGTCATAGACTTTAGAAAAAATTATCAAAGACTGTAAACATGGGACAAAATGTTATTATTTTCAATAGTATTTTATGCATGTTCATACAAACAAGCTGGAATTGATTTTGTTTGGGTACATATTTTTCTGCTGTCAATAAGAAAAATAATAATTACAATTTTTTTTTTTTGTGTTCACCATTCTGGTATATAAATAGCATAAATGTTTACACATTTGAATAAAAAATTCTCTTAAGAAATTACTTATCCTTTTTAATCTTGATGCACTTCAAATTTAGTTTGTTAGTGGAAAATACATAATGGTGGTTGTATAAAATATTTAGCAAATATCCTGCTTCTTAAGTCATTTGCAAATAAAATTGAACCTTGTATTGGGGCACGTACCATATATACTTATCTATAAGCTGACTTCATGCATAGTGTGACCTCTGAATTATTTTTATTTTTTTTTTTTTGCATGAATTTTAACTCCTCCAGACAAAAATTACCAATCATTGAAAATGTATAACTTTTAACATCTTCAAAAAAAATTACCTGTGCATAGTACAACCCTCCCCTACTGTATTTTGTTTTTTTTTTTTTTTTTTTTTTTTTTAAAACTGATCATAAAAACTCACACTATACTCTTGTATATATGGTAAGCCATGTTCACTTTTTAATCGTTACACATTGTAATTATATCACTGTTAAATCAACAATATTCAGTGATATCATTCAACAAATCTTCAATGTGGGTTACTTTGATGAAAGAACATTAAATGTTTTTCAAAGGTATAAATATCTATTATATCAAGGGGGCAGAATGTATAGTTCAACTGATAGTTACGTTTATCATTTTAAAATCATTTAGCCACTTTTATGCAAAATTTATATCAAATTTGAACTTTCTTTTATTTTTATTTTCAAATACATTTATTTCTATAAAATGTGCACTCTCCAAATGTTTAATGATTTTTGTGAATTATTCCATCATCATAAACTGAGCTAAAAATCTGTTCATTATATTTTGTGATTTCAGATTGGCTGTCTTTGGTCTTGAAAAGACCTTATTGTTATAGCAATAGTAATAGATGTTGTTACTTAAAATTGGTTGTGTTTTAGATTAGCCTATCTTATGTCTCCATTTCTTGATCTAAAGTTTTACTTTAGAAAAAATTAAACCTAAACATTGGTTATATTTAAAATCATCTTTGATTTTTGAATAGTACAATGTGAAAAAATACTTCTGCAAATCAGGCTCATTAAAATAAGTGTACTTCAATTTAAAAAAGAATATCTTTAATTAAAAGAAATAGAAATGTCTATTGTTTTGTATATATAGATTTTTCTTTTTAGTGAATTTGCCTAAGTCAATTCTATATACAGACTGACTTGATATTTTAAAAACATTATGGTGTCTTCTTGTTCTGTCTTTGTTATACTTAGTGCCAGTAGGCATTGATTTAATCTCATGTAGAATTTTATGGCTTGTTACAAGTTTCTTTTTATTGAAATAATATTTCAGATGAAAGCAAATGCTTACCTTTCTATATGTAATCATATGATATAGAAAACTGGGAAAGGTTTGAATTCCACCTCTTCTCCCAGCTATTAGTAAGACTTGTATTACTAAATCATTATCTTCAAAAAAAGTTTTACAATATAGAAATATTTTCTGGCTTTAAATAACCTGCAAAGGGTTGGAAAAAAACCCAAATCAATCAAGCAAGCAAAATTGTCTCCTGTTGAAATTGGAGGCAATCATAAGCTTATAGTTATGCTTAGCTGTGATCAACACAAAGAATAATTCACTGTATCGATATTGATGAAGAAAATTTTTTTTTTTTTTTTTTTGTGTATATCACAAGATAGACGTTTGTCTTGTTTAACTGTTACATCCAAATCCATTTTTTTATGTTCAGAAAATCTAGAATACAAGATCAGGCTGACCTATTTACTTTCCTAAATGAATATAGGGTGAAATTAATTTGAAAAAAAATACTGAGGTTTTTTTAATGTTTCCAACAATTTGAATTTGTCATTTGTGTTTGTTTTTTTTTCAAATGATATTTTAAAACAATGAAAACCAAATGTAAATTTTCTTTGAATTTTTATCACATTTTAACAAGGTATTCATTGCTTTAAAGTTTATACTTTGATCATTATATTCCATCTGCAGTTTTAAATTAGTCAGATTGCGTGTTCTGTTCAGAACTACATACAGTTGGGCATGGAAAAATAAAAGATTATTTTGGATTTGATTATTATTATTGTTAACTCAAGAACTGCTTGAAATTGTTGCTTTCCTTTAGAAGGTTGTTTTGAAGAGCAATTGTCAGATGAAAAAATAGTAAATGTATCATTTTTATCAAAAATCTTTTATATAAATATTGTTGTTAGTATATTTATATACTTGTAAAATAAGAGATGCATAGGAATGATATGCATAAATTCACTGCTGACAATGTAAATTCTATATTCATATTGATCTATTGTGCCTTATGTCAAACATTAAGGAAATGTTTGTTTCATTTTCAACTTAGTCCATACCTGTTTAATCTATACCTACAGCCGCCTTTCATATAAACTTTAAAAATATTATTCTTGATTTTTAACTACTAAATGTTTTACTTGTTTTTTGTAGTAAGGAAAACCAACATATTACATTTTTTCCTTACTAAAATAATGAAGCAAAAAATCTTGCAGGAATTAAATCTGAGCTGTAAAAAATAAGTATCCTACCATTTCCCTAGGTTCAGGACTAAGTTTTGCATTGTTTTAAATCCAAGAATTGAGACTTGGTTTAAAATTGTGCTACGTTCTCCGCTTCATCTACCTCTTTGTAGTCTATCATTAATTGGTAATGACGAATAAATTCCCAAACACACAGTATTTTGAAGAAATTATTATTAAATTACATGCAGTCTGTCCAAAAGGTTTCTGTTACTTAATGGAAAATAAAGTCTATCAAGCAATGGGATCTTAGTCTTCCTCAATGTATTCACCTTGGAATCTCACTCATTTATCCCAGTGTCCACTTTTTAAAATAACAATTTTTTTTTTTTTTTTTCGTTGGGTGGGGGGTTGCTATTAGCTGCTTCATCACATCACATTCTTATTAATCTCCAAATTATGTAGAGGAATAAATTTGGAAAAATAAAAAATGAAACAATTCTACAAATTTAACAAGTTTATTTATATTTTAAAAATGTTCATAAATGGCATGGTATAATTAAAACTTCAAAATAAGACATGAAATATTGTCAGTCTTTTAATGATCCAAATTTCAAATTGTTTTTTTTCTTAGTATCTGTGAGTTGAAAGGTTCCACCTCTTTTGTGTATGTGAATAATTAGATTTTTTATATGTTTTGAAAGCATATAGGCATATGTATCAGTAGTAGTCATGGTACAGTAATATATGAACTTGGATGAAGATAATACAAGTTGTGTAATTATTTTACAGAATGCTAATTAAAAAATGAAAAGGAAGAAAATATTTATAAGAACTGTATTGATAAAACTCAGTTGAATAATGTCAAAAATGAGTAATTGGCAGTGTGAAACATCGATAACAAATATTAGTTATCAAAATTTATAGAAAACAATATGCTCAAAACTGGGCTTAGAAATTACTTTTCTAAATCACAACTGTGTAAAAATTATTTTTTATTTAAGAGGCAAAAGATTTGCAGTGATTTGATCCTTCAATTTTTCTAAGGATCATCTGCAAGTGTCACAAAATATAACATTTTTTTTTCTTTTTTAGGGTCAAAAAGTAAAAAATGTGATGATTCAACTTTCTCTCTCTTTTTTTTTTTTTTTTATAACAAAAATAACTTCATTTCTCTAGGGAAATACAGAAGGCTTGTTCTTAATCCATAATGTTTTTAAAAAAGCCAGAAATTGCAAGAAAATCTGAACTTTGAGAACTGACAGATCTGGTGATGTAAAAGCAATGAGCACACAATATGCAAACTCACTTATTGGTATCTCACTGCTGACTGAGTAACCCCATGTGCAGTAAAATTTTCTCTGATTGGTTGCTAATTTATATCAAGTTTGTACAACCACTATTGAAGATATTCAAAATGATTGGATGTGTTCCAGATAGGACTCAGATCAAAATATCTAAATTTCACAACTTTATCAACTATAATTTAAAATTAAATTTATAAACTTTTAAATTTTGAGGAAAATGTATTGATCAATCTTGAAAATAATTATTGATATGAAAAAAAGAGCCCTTTTAACTTTAACTAAAAATTTGCCAGTATAAAGGATTTGCTTAATCCTGAATATCCAAATCCTATGTGTCTCATGTAGTTGAATTAAGTTTGGGAGATGTCAAGTATTGAATGTTTGAGCTGTATAGCAATACAAAACTGCATTTGTAAAATGTCAGAGGTTGGCAAACTGAGAATTTTTTTTTTTATAAAACAGAGTAAAAAGTGTTTTTTTGAAGGCAAGATGATTTTTAAGCATTGCATTGTGAGATGAATTTTTTATTTTTTACTAACTACTTGTCATATGATTTAAAAGTTTAAAAGAATGATAAAAAAACAAATATGCTTATTGTCAAAGTAAAAAAAATCTAAAGAATATTAGTAATATTTTAAGATACCTTTTTACAAAATTTTGACAGTAATGTTTTAAAGATTTCTGGATATTGTTAAAAAATTTTTTATCAAAGTAAAACCCTTTCTTCAGGGTTATGTGATAACTTTCTAAACATTGGAATTAAGATGTGGCATTCACATTGCCAAGAGCAAGTTTGATAAAAGCCAATATTCAAATTTTTTTTTTTTTTTTTTTTTTTTTTTTTTGAGCAATTTTTTAATAATTTTTCTACTCCTTTAATTAATCTTTGTATTTTCAGTTATTATTTTTGTCATTTTGAAATAAACCTAATGGGGGGGGGGGGCAGATTTTCTGCACTTTATAGTATCTAATGACATAATAATATATT